GGACCTGCGTGAAAGCACCCAACACGGCTACTGGTTCTATGAGGTAAGTTTTCTTTTGTTTGCAGATGAGTTTATAACACTGTAAATTTTCCTCCATCCAGTACCGACGACAAGTTTCAAGCATCTTTGTCATACATTGATTTTGAAAAAACATTTAAAATTCGTCGAAAGCCGGAGAGAAAAAGTTGATTACATTTGATGCTGATGAAGATTCACAAGATGGCATTCATGCTTTAGGTGATTCAAAGCTGCATGCTGTTACTCGCAAACCCACTAAAAGAAAACGTCGTTACTAATTTTCACATATAAAAATAGGAACTGATATTGTTTTTGCATTATTTTACTTTTTTATTTGTTTAAACTTTGTTAAAAGATATCTGAAAGATTTCTTAAGTGAACACATGGATGGAATATTGTACATATATGATTTGTTTATGAAATATAAAACAATAAATTTTCCTGAAAGATGAAACTCCTTGCTTGAGTAACTAAAATTTTCGTTCCTTTAAATCAAAAAGAAAATGATTTCGAATGAATGACTTCCAAGAAACAAATCAATCTAAGCCAAGCTGTTCGATATTACATCAATGAGCAAATCATTTCAAAAGTTTACTTGACACGATATACGCCACATGTCTATCTTGAGAGTACGCTATTCTAGCTTCAATTCATAATATCTCAAACATTTAGTTGTATCATGTTTACTTCCAGACGCTGCAAAAATATCACATAATTCACTTTAATTAAACAGATTACCAATAAGACCCACATATTTTCCCTCTTAACATGCATCTAATGCAATCCATTCATTTACTTTCTATATCAATTTACAAGGTGAAATCGTTTGTATTTCAGTAAATAAAACAAATAGCATATGTCATCATAGAAAACAAGCTTTATCGAAGTGGTCCTTATATTCAGTTTGGAAGGCTATAATACAACTCATCACCAGATGGGCCGATAATTACACATATATTTTTTCAGAATAGTAAAAAACATAACTTCGCGTCACCGTGTATACTTGCGTAAAGCATATTTCAATCAGTTCTAAATGGTGGAAGTATTATTTAGGTCAATCGCAACAACGAAGTCGAACTAAGTGCAACCTATATTATTGATTATTGTTGTTTTTATCTAGATCCATTCCAATAACGAACACAAAAGTAAATATTAAATGTATACACACTTCTTTTCAAACACTCAGTTAACTGCAAAGTTGAAAGTAATATAAACATTCTTTGTACATATAGCTCTGCGATTGCTTTGACCACTAGAGACAATGAAATTGAAATCAGCTAATATTTTTATCAATCATTACAATTTTAGTCTTCCACTGTCATTTCAACATTGACATAAAAAATTACTGTCGTACATTTTATAAGCTTTGTTTCTATTCATCTAGGTAAATTTAAAACTAATAGAAATATTCCTTCTATGCATGGTTCTACTATTGTTTCCATCAATGACGCCGGCAAAATTGAAACCGTGTATTATTTTAATCAATCGTTACAATTTTTGTCCTCCAGTGCAATTTCAACATTGAAATGAAAAATTGGTATCGTAAATTTTATAAACTTTGTTTCTATTCATTTAGGTAAATTCAAAACTAATAGTAGTATTATTTCTATGTACGGTTCTACTATTGTTACTAATGGAACCAACAAAATTGAAATCAGGCATTCTTTTATCAGTATTTTTGTTGGTTATTTATAGTAATACGACGTTGGAGGTGATGCGGCCATTATTCGTATGTTTGACTGTTGTATTGTTTCTAGTAATTATGACAATAACGTCAAATGTGGGTATGAATCATTTGTATCAATATTCTCACTGATTATGTAGTTCAATGTGAAGCTGAAAATGTTACAAATATCATTCATACACCTGGTTGTATTCTTGCAGACGAATCATAATGGCGAAAGTGAAACATAAGTATCGCTGATTTTATAGTCGTTTTTGTTGTTTGGACAGTTGGTAACCGCAGCATCATTAATAGTAAGTATAACTTTTGTAAGTGCATATGCCCTATGTTTTTTAATATTGAGTTGTACATTAAATATTTACACTATTTATTTTGATGATTTTGTTTTTCTTTATAGATCCATCTCAAGTGGGAATACAAAGGTAACAGGGGAGTTGGTTTTACAGGCGCGCTGTTTTAGCCTGTAAGGTGTTTGCTGCATATAAGAATAAATAACCTTGAAAGGATTGTTCTATGTCATAATCTGGATGTCTTCTTCCAGACAACAAAGTATGTCTAAGCTGCTTGAATTAAGATCGACGGAAAAGTGGAGGTCGTCATATGAAGAATGCTTTATTTTATATAAAACAATAAAACCTTTTCCGTTGATCTTCATCCTATGCATTTAGATTTTACTGTTTGTTTAGAAGAAAACGTACAATTTTGACGTATGGGAACTTTTTACCTAGTTTTTCGTTGTAATATGAGGTGAAAACGTTACAGGCTAAAGTAGTGCAGCTAAGAATCAGTTGCTGCGTTGGTACAGCTTCTTTCATCGTTTTCTAAACCCTTCTATGAGTTCATGGCTATTTCATATAGGGGTGCATCAGCTCCAGCTCAAACTTTCAGCTGAGCTGAGCGAAAAAGCTGTTCGAACGTTCGTTCGGTAGGAACTGATTGATTTTAACAGCTCGTTCAAAAAGAGCTGATCTGATCGAACAGCTCTCTCTCTCTCTCTCTCTCTCTCAAGAACTGATTGGCATTATGCCAAAAATACTATCCAAAATCTTTTTGAATTCACTTTAAATAACATATACAATTTTTCAAGGGCCATCTTCGGAAGTTCTTTATAACTTTTCAAAGATTACTAAAAGATATAAGTACAATTTTTCGAGAGCTACTTACTATTAGTAACTCTAACTATTTATCATTTTTTCAGAAGTGATACTTACAGGTTTTTCAGCGCTGTCTGGAAATGGTACCTAAAGCATTTATGAAACACAATTTAATACGAATGTTGAAGTGTATGGACAGATTTGGATAGTATTTTTGGCATAATGCCAATCAGTTGTTGAGAGAGAGAGAGAGAGAGAGCTGTTCGACCAGATCAGCTCTTTTGGAATGAGCTGTTGAAAACGTACAGTTCAGGGATGAGAGCTGTTCGATCAGATCAGCGCTTTTGAAAGGAGCTGTTCAAAACAATCAGCTCCTACCGAAATGAACTTTCGAACAGTTCCCTCGCTCAGAACTAGAGCTGAACTATTGCACCCCTAATTTCATAAACACTTCTATGAGTCCATGGGCACTTCCTAAAACCTGCTATGGGTTCATGAATATTTCATACACCCTAGTCAAAACTTCTATGTACCTTGTTGATAATCCTAAACCATTATAAGGGTTTATTAAAGTGCAACGTATCACAAACCTTTAAAGGGTTTATTATTTTCCTAAACCCTATCCTATACCCTTCCAAAGGGTTTAGGAATGTTTCATGTACAGTAAAAAGGGTTTGTGATACGTTGCACTTCAATAAACCCCTTTAGGGTTTAGTATTCTACGTGTTTTTTTACAGTGTACTTAGTTTTCCATTTTGGCAACACCATGGAGAAAAACGCCAGATACTCAGTGTGTGAATGTGGGTGACTTTGGGTCTCGGTGTGAATATGATTGAAGCTCAACTCGACGAGCCACAACCACACCCATATCCTTGGCCATCGTGGTACCTTCATATTGACAAAATAATAAATCCTTCTGAAGATTTTATTATTCCACGTCTTTTTACAGTGTCATGCGCTTATAAGCTAGATGTTTGATGTGTGAGTCATCTTTTAAAATAGTTAGGATTTTTCAGAGCGAATTGTTTTAGAGCTGTAGTAATGGGCTCGGCCTTTCTCGCTTCTAGTTGCAGACACAGTTTTCTGAAGCTTTTTTTTTCGTTTTAACAAGCAAGTATAGAACTCAAAAAAGTTTCTTTTTCTGGGGACCAAGTCTATAGTTTGAAAAGTTTAGGAACTGGTAACGAAGAAAGGTTCGTTTTTACATCTTTCTTCTGAAAAGCACTCTTGATGTATGAATGAATGATCTGATTTTACGCACATGCAGTAGCAAAATGAGCAGAAAAAAAACAAAAGGCGATAAAAGGGAGAGAAAGAAATTCCGACAGAAACAGTAGAAAACCTATTTCATCTGCTGTGCTAAAAGCATAACTTTTGGAGCAGTTGTATGGAAACATGTCTTCCTCGATAAGTGAAAAAACAAATATCCTGCTCTTTCGGCTTTTACAAAATTCTCATAACTGTAAGTATTTATAATATTTGTACGAGACCAAAGATCTCTCATGCGTTAGCTTGTAAAGTTCACTTATTTGTTTAACTCGTTCGAATTACAATTTTGATCATCTCACTATTCGAATGTAATTAGTTATTAGGATTTCATAGAAGATTGCGAGATGAAATTTTGTAAGCTCTATTCATGGAGAACTTTTGTTTATTTATCTACTACCACAATCATTNGACGTTTTTCGAATCATTCCCGTTATGGTCTATTGAGAACACTTAAAAGCTTGCGATTAGTTGTTGTTGCTTGTGCGCATAATGTGGCAAAAGAGATTCCGCAATTTCGTTCTCATGTAGAACGAATCATTCATCTGTTTCATTCATCGTCGCGTATTCTCATATTCGAAAGTGATTCAACCGATAATACTCTTGCATCACTACATCAATGGACCACAGCCCAGGTATATACGGGAGGCCGACTAGAGCCAACGATTCCGGCTCGTAGTGAACGCATCGCGTATTGCCGCAACACTCTTATTCATAAAGCTCGTATGCTTGAGCCCGATTATCTTTTGACACTTGACATGGATATATTTGTTGGTAGCCTTTCAGCATTCCTAACGAATTTCGATTATGACATGAAAGAGTGGTCTGTCATGACAGCAAACGTTGGTGGCTTCTACTACGACATTTGGGCCTTGCGCACATTATCTGAATTGAATCTTAACTATGATGTATGGCAACGAGTATGGGCACTGATTCGCGGATCGTCAAAATATTGTGGAGAATCTGTTATTGATCAAGTAATAGGGATTCACAAAAAGCCCATTCCTACTTCGCATGATCTACTGGAAGTTCGCTCAGCATTTTCTGGAGCTGGTTTGTACAAAATGAGTTCAATTCAAAATTGCCAATACTCCGGAGAAAATTCAACTTGTGAACATGTCCCATTTCATTTATGCATTCGTGAAAAAAATAGAGGTCGAATATTCATTAATCCAAGTTTTCGAATTGATCACACGAATGACACATAAGAATCTTCGCTGGTATTCTACAATGTTTTTTTTCTTGTTTTTTTTTGTAAGAGAGTAAGGCTCATCGATACTGTCAGATGGCCAAGTAGATCCGTCATTTTGTTAAAAAGAACTGAAAGATAAGAGGTATTTACAGTTGACATATATGTACTGTATGTCAGTGTTTCAACCCCGTTACAACAGCTGAGTCTGATCGACAGAGATAGAAGTGTTAATCTTTTTTATTCATCAATGGATAGATGATATGCGCTCAACCCCACTTTCTCATAGTTCTCACTGGCGCATTTTCGTAGAGTCATCCCAAGTAAGCGATATATAACGGCAGCTGACAACATGGCTAGTCTGAAATGACCGTAATATCGGCCAGGTCCTGTTTAAGGAGTACGACAGTTTAGCTTTAGTTTCAATCAAAAGAACAATTCGAGTAGATCAGATTCCAGAAGAGACGCCTATATCGATATAGAGCGACAACAGGATTAGCAGGTGTTGGAGGTATAGCAGGTATAGAGCATAGAGGAGTTTTTTGGGCGCGATGGTGTGGCAGCACTGCATGTGCTTTCCGATTCTTGCAGAAACGACGATTACTATTCAATATCTTTGGAGAAAACGTTTTTCATTATACCGTTGTAAAATCATAATCGAAAAAATAATTTCGCCGTAGTTCATTATACTTCTGATGATGACTATCAAGATATTTAATACGAACTGATGTTCTTTTGTATTACGCTACTACATCATTTTTGTGGTGGTAATACAAATATAGGAATGTTATGAAAGTTATCAAATGAATGAAATACTGGAAACACATTCAATGTCTCTGTAACATGTGAAGTTCCATGTATAAGAAGCACTACAGTTAATGGTCGTCTTCGTTGATTTTTTCGTCGCTCATAGTAGGTACTAGTGGTACGACAATTCAGTTTTAGTTCTGATCAAAGGAACTGTTCAGACAGTTCCTTATATATGATCTAAACTGTTCGAACAGTTCTTTCGTTCATTTGATCTGAACTTGGGTCTGAGAACTGTTACATCCCTAATTACATATATAAAAAAAAAGTTATAATCAGATCGCGAATTTCAGTGGAAGTATCACTCGATTCAAGCATCCTGATCATAATTGTGATCTGTTAAGAATTCTTTCTCAAGCCAAAGATTTAGCTTTCTCTAGCCAAGCTTCTACTGGTGTGCATTATGGGTCGATGCATTAGCTAGTTTACAAAAATTCCGTCAAGCTTTGGGAGTCATGGTAGCTTTGACTACTATTTTCACAATTATCTTTCCCACAGAGAGCCATTTGTGCCGATATTGAAGGAACAATCTGATGGTTTTACTTCTTCTTTCCTGTGTTCTTTCTCCGTTGTTCTAATATATGCTCATCTATCTATCTCCTTCTCACTAGTATCTGAATTTGTGTAGTATGTAAACTAATTATATACATTCTGAACACATAAAGTAGCAAATAAACATCATTAACTAGGGTAACGATAAACTACTCCGTTCATTTGGTCTTTCTATGACTTAGTAAACGGAATATGGTTGCTTTTTTAGGTTTCTTTGGAGCATTGAAAAAAAAAGAAAATGACAATGAAAAAGCACAAGATTTTTTATGAAACTGTGAAATAGTGTACATGTGAACGATGTTGCATTAATGTGGGCGATACAGATTTCGATCGTGTATTTTGTGTGAGATTCAATGTAATTGAATGCATCAAGAAAAAAATGAATCACATAATCATGTATATTTTGATGCATAACATCGCTGTTGCAACTACCAACGTCCACACTAGCACAGAATTTGTCTCAATCATTGAATACTACGCGAAGTGAAAGATTGTCAAATAATACAGTATACAGGATGAATTTAGTATTCACTCGAGTGCCGAAGGAGTCTCACGGATGCGCGTTATTTGTTATTATTAAGTTAGAAATGAGAGTTAACTTTCTACCAAGGAGATTTATCATGATTGATTCCTGAATAGACCTGTGAAAGCTCATAGTTCAATGAAATGTTTTTTTTTCAATAACTGAATCCCTCGACTAGCATTTTCTTAAAGAACTGAATAGCTGATACTAGCTTCGGTTCTCAGCTCTCGAACTGCCACAGGCCTATTCCTAAGTGAGAGCAAGCTGTATTACGTAAGCTGAAAATCAAAAGGCCTGCGCAAGTAAAAAAATTACACTCTGTCAAGCAGATTAAGATTTATCTTTGGTTAAAAAGTAACAGACAAAGATGATAAGTTTCATACATATTCTGCCTAAGAAAAATAATGGCAATGAATTGAAAAAAAATTCGAGTCCCTGTAGGCCAAGAAAAGTGACACTAGAAAACGTATGGTTCAACAATAACCCTCTAGGTGAAAATAAATAACACCTGAAAAATAGAAAACTGCTATCATATCAAAATTATTAGATTGGTGTCCTTTTTACACAGTTATTAAAGTTCTTCTATGAACAATCGAATTTTATGTGAGCCGGAAATCTATTCTTAACTTCTGACCGCTCTTCTGAGCGTGAGCAAACAGAAGGCTCACACAAACACTGCGCTTCTAATCAGATTTGTAAATCAAGATTCATTAGGCAATATGCTTTTTCTTTTTGTTGATAGGAGGACAAGTTCAAAATCATAAGGAATTCAAATAAGCTTCGGAACACTGATTAGACAACGAAGTGCATCATTGCATTATTCACATACAAAAGCAAGTTATTTCATGAAGCATGTTGAAAACGACTAAGCCACGCCGTTTACGACTTATAATATGCATCACGCTGACAGCTTTGATGTTTGTTCTTCTCTTACGTTTCTGGATTCAGAGACGTCCTGTATCATTAGATGACCAGAATATGTCACACTGTGCTCGATTATGCCCTTACAAAAGCACTTTGGGATGTAATCGGCTACAATTTGACCCTGATCACTGGGTTCAGCACTTTCCTGAATTTGTTTGTCCGCAAAATTTTCGTAATCTAGCTGATTGGATTATTAGTTGGCCAGATCAATTCAATGAAAAAGTCGAGACGACAACAAATGATGGACGGCATATTAGCCCTTGTTTATCTAATGGCAGCATTGTTTACGTGAGAATTTGGGCTATCGATGAATTTTTCAAAAAAATTTATCCGCATCTTAAAAGTTCTTTTGTTTTAATTACTGGTGAAGGCGATGTTTCTTCTCCAAGTCATCTCAATTATCTTGAAGAATCGAATTCGAAAATTATTCATTGGTTTGGTCAAAACGGACAATTCGATGTGTCTAGAGTGAAAAAATTCACCCATATCCCTATCGGTGAGTTTTAATATGTGGAAAAAAGAGAATAACCACAAATTGTGTTCTATTTTAGGAATCAATTGTTATGAGATGGCCTCAGCTATTCGGGGTGTTCACTCGCAACAGTCGAATCATTCATCATCTCAAGTATTTGGTGATATTGACGAACCCCTTCGTTATATTCAACCACTTGACGTATCATATCGAATAAAGAATGACATTAGTCTTCCCGAGAGTGCTACAGGAAAACTAGTTTTGATCAACTTTGATAAGACAACGGATGGCACAGGACTTCGTTCACAGATATGGAAGGACTTCTGTGAAGTAAATGAAAGTTTCCCATTCGTAGAGTGTTTTCGTAAACCGACTGGTGTCAGTATTTCTTCGCTTCCTTCAATTTATGCCCGCAACCGTCAATATCCATTCTGGCTATCACCGCGCGGTAACGGCATTGATTGTCACCGAACTTGGGAAGCCTTGTATCTTGACATAATACCGATTGTTTGGAACTCTTCATTAAATATTCTATATGAGCATTTGCCTGTGCTAATAATTGACGATCACAGAACTCTCACGGAAGCATTTCTGCAAAAAAAACTACAAGAAATAACGGAGAAGAAATTATCCGCATCAAAATCCGGAACATTTTATCAATATGAGAAACTAAGGAACGCCTATTGGCGCCATTTAATAATGAAAAAATCACGATATCAAGCGATAAACGTGAATTCCGCACGAGAGAAGCAGTGTTGGCGAGCGACGTTTAAAACTCCTTCGAGCAGTTAATATTTTCATTGTTTAGGAAATGGAACTAAGCATTAGAATTTACTATTTCTCTATTAATATAACTGATTCATGACAATGTAAATAGACCAGTTTAATAAAATTTCCGTCTTTAAAGGTTTTCTCCCTTTTCTAAATATATTCATTAGATAAACTCTCGAATAATCCTTCTGAATGTATGAAAACAGTCAAATGTGTACACAAATGCTGAAAAACTAGCGGCATCGCTGTACTTCATTCTATGCTGCTATGACTGAATGGTTAAAATGTTTGACACATATCCACAAGATACTGTGATCGAACCTCGGCTCCATCCAGTTATAGAATGACCTTGGATAAGTTACTAACGGCTATCCTATCTCGGATCTCCCATCCGATAACAAACTGACGACGTGTGACATACACTAAATAACACTAGTAGCTAGTATGTAGTTAATCAGTGTGTACGGGGAGCTTAAGCAATTAAACGTGAAGAACTCTGAGCCAGGCCGGCCTTCTGTCCAGAGCTACATTTAGTAATAGATGTAGGAAGAAAATCGGGTCCATGGATAACCCTCAGCAGCGCAAGGAAGCCGAAAAGCAGGGTATTCTTCTTCTTCTTCTTCTTCTTCATTCTGTTGTAAATTCATACGGAGTATCGATTGGGATGTTTGTATGTATTTCATCATGAATAACGCACACTACTGTTTGAACTAAGAAAACAGTTGCTTAGCAAATGCTAAATGTGTTGATTTTGCATTGAAACTTTGTGCGATACGAAATACATAGTATATCGAGATTCTTCTCAACATAAGTTCAATTTTACGCACTTCGGTAACACTGGAATGCCAGTAGCTGAGTTTCAGTTGAATGCTAAATGGCAACTCGTATTAAGGTTTCTGAACTCGATCTGTCCAAGCGTGACGGAATCACGCTTTTTCATTTTGTATTTTGAATATCTCAACTTAATGAAATTGGATGAAGCTAAAATTTTCAGAACATATTCAAGTTTTATTGCTCGACAAACTCTGAAAGTTTCATAGGATTCGAAACTTCCATGAGAATTTTATGATTAAAATATAGGTCCGTTATGGAATCACCAAAAATGGTCTTCGAGATAGAGTTCTGGATGCAGAACTGGAAAATTTAGCTTAACTAAAACTGCGAAGAAAAAAAATTCAGATTGAAAGTTATAGTGGAGATGTCATTCTATCAGTAGAAGAAAAGAAAATGTAAAAAATGCAAAAGTATGTCTTTGAAGAGTGAAAAACGTTTCGTAACGGAATCACTTTTTTAAAATGTTCATGTTCTTTTAGTGTCTATTTCTTAAGAAATTTATCTATAATTCCCGAAAATCAACACATTTGTATGATACATAGAAATGTAAAAAATGAATGCCGATTCTGGCCATCGGGACTGGAACTGGGACCGGGACCGGGACCGAAAACATTAACTGCACCGAGGTCAGAGCCCAAAAAATTTAACTATACCATGGCTGAGACCCAGACCAAAGCAAAAGTGATCCCGGCAAGAGGAAGAAAGTGAGAATTTCATACTGTGGAGTCTAGATGAAATAAGGGAGGAGTACAATAAAGTAGACCCAAGTTATAGTTGTATATAGTAAAGAAATAAAAAATATGAGTATTGAAGAAACATTAAAAATGTGACAAAACAATGCTGCGACTTGTTTCTCTAAGTAGTCATAGACTGTAGATTAGTTAGAATCACATGACCAGAATACAAAATGAAATTTCACCTGGGTCGAGACCAGAACCACAATAAGGGTGCCGGGGCTTCGGTCGGGATCGGGGTCAAAATAATGTTGCTCTGCGCATCTCTAATTACTAGTGAGAAAGTGATCAAGGAAAGTCATTTTACGTTGATCATTCTGATAAAGTGAAAACTATGCTTCAAAAGTATAAGATACATATCAGATATCACCCATAAAATGGCATCTTCAATTGCGGTAATAAAAATAACTTCAAATTGTCATAAATCAACTTCGGAATTAAGCAGTGAGCCTCTAAAATCCCATTACCTATATAAGAAATATGGCTAAGATGAAATATAAGAGAAAAAATGTTCCTATTTTTTTATGGAAACGTACTTGTTCAACCCAAAGGTGATTCCGTTACGCTCTCTGTAACGAACCAGGAATTTTTTTCAAAAGTCAACTAGTTCTGTGGATAGAGCGAAAAAATCAGGGTTAAAGCGTGCATTTGTAGAATCATAAATATCTTGCTTTTGGCTAAGAATGAGTTACACCATATTTTCGTTACGGAATCACAATAAAAAATGGGCTACTTTTAAAGTATAAATATTTTTCTTTGGGAACAGCAAGTACCTGGATCTCTTCTTATAGTTAAAGAACCTACTCAGCATAGTCCTAAAAGATGTGATCGACTTTGAAAAATATCATATCTGTCTGCATGAAAAAAACAAGATAAAACTTTTGATAAATATGTATATTTATCGACACAGAATGATACTCGTTTAGCAAGATTTTTACGGTAAGATATATACAGCTACTTAGATAAAAAATACACTTTCGTGTACTATTGACAATGCTCTATAATATGGTTATATTTATTTTACTCAATTTTGAAGTTCAACTTTATCTACATAGGTGGACCGTTACGTGGGCAGGTCGAACTAATATATAAGTATTTTGATTGAATTTTGAGCTGAATTAGCTGGCATTGAATAAGTTTACATATACGTTTTCACTCTAAAAGTTGACAGGTTCGAAAAGTCAGTCACTTGATTTCCTTGATATGCTAATGGAGGATCTATCCAGAATGATTGAAGTGTCGGAGATAATGGAAACAACACATTTTGTAAAATATCAGGCGGTAGGAAATCGTTCTTTTGTGCTCTTAGTTGATCCACTAGAGCTTGTGCTGAGCATGACGTTAACAAGTAAGCATGAGTGCATCGGGACGGTGACAATTTTTGCGTTGACAAAAGTGGCGATGCATTTAAAAAATGCTTTCGGAAACATTTACCATACAGACTAAAGCACGATCCCACAACGAACATTGGATTCTGATGTATCCATTCATCCTCTGTTTTTAGAAGTTGATTGGATTCAGCGCACTCTTTATCAAGGCGCAATGCACCACTTTGAATAGCTGCATATATCATTCTTGTGAGCTTCTCTTTGAAAAATGGCACAAAAATAACATCATCTTCGAGAATTAAACCTAATCTGACATTTTGCTTTGCCATTTCATACCAAATATCAACATGCTCCGCTGTTATAGGGCATTGTCGCTGTTGTTGTTTGCCTGAAATATTAAATTTCCTGAGTTACTGTCAAAAATAATGCAAAAAACTGCGAACAGCCGATAAAAAGAAAGTGGGTCTGTGGATGCCAAGTAGGGGTATGTCAGTCCAGTTTTAGTTTATGTTCTACAAGCGATCAATAGCTAAAGGTTTTTGCCATAGATTTTTCTCACCACTAAATACTTTCTTCATAACTTCTTGGCTTTCTTACATAATCTAGTGCAATTATAATCAATAAGACAGAGTATCACCTAAAAGGTAGAAGAGTCATTCTTTCCTCTAAAATGAGGTTCAATAGCACTCTCTAAAACACGCTTCTAATATATTTGATAATTTATCCAAATCTCATTTTAGTTGTAAATTGTCTAGGGTTTTTACTAAGGCTATATTCTTAATCTATGCGCAAAAAATCATCGCAGTCAAAACGGAATACTGATCGAGGTTCAACCTTAGGCGCCCAACACAAATTGATTGATTTAACAAAGAGCTCAACAGTTAGTATTTTATTGATGTATATGCGGTTACCTAAAGGTTTGCCATTCAAGTTTAATCTCTTCGAAACCAAAGAAAAACTGGAATTCGATTCGCATGTTGTCAAGTTCCATCTCATTCTCCATTCTATTGATTTCATTGAAATACCTTGCTGTTTGAAGACTTCTTTCAAGCTGGCGTGACGTTCAGTCAAACGTGAATTAGTCACTACATAGATCATATCGACAAATGGAAGTTTGGACACAATCAGTGGAGAGATTTCAATGTCAATATTTGAGCTAGTATTTTGAAGTTGATCTTTCGCTGCAGGAAGCGGCCAGATTTTCCATTGATCACCCGGTTTTGATTGTCCGAGCTCATTCTTTGAGTAATAATCATATGCGATTCCATTATAATGATAAACATGATTGAAAGAAAAATTAAAATTTGATATAAGCCTATTGGCAGGTAATATCACATACGCATGACGAGGTGTAGTTAGACATAATTTACTAGATATTATGATAAGCCAACGCAAAGGAGAGGATAAGAACGCTACAAAAAATGGATAGAGAAAGATGAGCTTATGATTATATGTAGATATTGTAAACTATGAAAGGATAAGAAAAATACTATTACAATACTTACTATTGGAGTCCAAGTCAAAATATAATGAAGAACAAAGAACAGTAAGTATAATACAACATAAGAATACAATTTTAATCCTAGCAAACCTAGGATACAATAATAGAACCATTGGACCAGATGATAGGTATCCTTTAAATTATCAATAAATTGCAATGAAAAGATCTTTGAATTCTTCTTAGATTGTCTGAACGCGAATGATCTAGAAGAAGGTGTGGGTGTGGGTGTGGGTGTGAGAATAAAGGTAATAACCAAACCCACATCCGCATACCCTCAACATGTGATATTTTAGATTCACTTATGATTTCACTGGACTTACTATTAAACGCCTTCCAGAAGCGACATCACAAAAACTCGTTTTCTGCATATATTTTCTTATTTCGCCAAGGAGATAGGAAAAATCTATTTTTCGAAACAAAACAGTGATTCTATCATCAATGGCTGTATGTTGTCATCTGACAACAGCCACCTGTGAAGGGCCAAAATTTTGGAAAAGTCATCTTTCGTTTTCCATCATCGATCGCTATTTTTCATTTTTTTTCATTTATTCATGCAAGAAAAAGCATAGAAAATATATAAGATATATTTACATGAATTCTCCGCGATTCAAATCGACTTTTCTATGCAAAAGCTGCCATATTCTGAACTTTGGAATAGAGCAGTTGTGTAGATTTGTATGCTTGTGGACATCAGGATAGATGTCGAACCAGATCTTTTATTTCTTTACACTTAAGCTTATATGTAAATCTTATATTCCTTTCTATGTCTTTTGTCGAGAGGTACAATACTAACATGCTGGCGGTTTTACATAGGAAAGTCTATTAGAATCGCACGTGTAGATATATCGTATATATTTTCTATGCTTTTTTTTGTATGAATAAATGAAAAAAACACTAAACAGTGAATTTTACTGATGGAAAAGGAAAAATGTTTTTTCCGAAATTTTGGCCCATTACGGTTGGCTGTTCCCAAATAACAACACCCATATCTTTTATTGCTAGAATTCATCGAAGAATCTCTTTTAGTGGTACAATATGCAATAAACCAAAGAGAAGAATTCTATCACTAATGACAAGGGGAAACGGCGTATTTTTGTACTTGCAGTAACTTTGAGTACTTCAAAATACTTTAAGCGGCTTCACACGTGCTTAGACGTGCTTTAAACCACTTTACGCTACTCTGACTTGAATGGATTTTAAGCTAAAGTTCTTTAAAGTACTTTAAATAATTCATAATAAACGCTGGCAAAAGTATGATATATTAAGCTACTAACCTTTTTATTATTTTTCAGTAACAATATAGCATAATAATTTCGATTAATGTGCTAGTCCACAGAATCGACAATATATCGCTTTACGATCTGCTCCATCAATATTCCCCGACCCGACACATTTTAATGTATGCGATAAAGAGAGTTTAGGAATGCTTTTAGCCAAAAACCGATTAAAAAAATCTGGAATAATTAGTTTTCATCGAATTTTTCCATGACATCGAAAAATCTGATTATGAGCAGACAGGATTCTCAGGAGTTTACATCTGCAGAACGACTAATCCGATTGAACTGAAAATTGATGCGCATCCAAACACCATACTAATAGGCATATAAAAATAGAAATCTTCACTACAACCATTGAGTTTGTGATATTTTATGGACCAGAGGTGGGCAACTTCGACCCTTTCTCGCTTCAGCTCCGGCTTCGCTTTAACGAAAAATCCTTTTTCTCTATTTTTCTTAAAGTTAGATAATATTCAATGAAAATTCACATCTCACTTCAGCATCCATATATATAAATACAGAATATAGGAAAACAATTATTAATAATATAATTAACAAAAAATGAATCATCAATACATTTAAGTTAGCTTGATTACAACATGAAAAGTATTTCTGATGATCAATAGACTAGTGAACTACAATAATTGTCGATTATACTTTGGTAAAGGTAATATTGAGAACATATTCTTAGAGAGTAGATGTGTGTTTGTTTTAGATCAAGATGAGATAAGAATCAAGATCCACACCCTGGTTTGTTTCTTCAACTTTCAGTTGAATGAAAAGTGTTGCTCTGTTCTATCATTACTCAATTCTCTCACATTTTATTTGCTTCAATTTTTTCTTTTCCTCGACGTTGTGTTTGTAGATTGTCAAACTAACAATAGCGGAGCCCAATCAGCCATATAAAAATCAACTAAATGAACGGCCAGCCATTATCTCAAGCGTTGCCCCTGATTAAAATGTAACAAAGACGTATTGATTACATTGAATACCAGACGACGAGCTTTGCTTTCACTAATTCCACCGTCTTCGTTCACATAAACCCTATGTAGAAGTGTTAGGGATTAAACAAGATTAATTTTGCTGGACTAAATTGATTATGAGTCATGCAGATCGATGAGTAGCTGCTGGAAATTTTCATGAATCGCGAATAAAATCAATTAAAATCGATTTTTTTTTATCAAATTTTCAACAATTATAATCGAAATTAATCGGAAAAGAAGCATATGGTTGGGGCTAGACAAAATGGACGCTCCGGAGTCGGAGCGGTCCATCTCTATTATGGGGTGCAGTATTGTACTAAAAACTCAGTATTTTTGCCTATTTGGGAGTTCATATCTCCTCACTAGAAAACGATAGAATCCTGAAATTACTTTTTCAAATATGCGCATATCAAAGAGATGTTGTTGCATCGAAAACTTCGGTCTCTTGAGGAAAGGCCTTGACCGAGACACTTCCGGCATTTTTTTACACAGTTCCTATTGTGCATTTCAATTTTCTAGGCTAATAGCAGCAAAAATTTGGTCTGAGTTGTCTGATCAGGTTGAGTTAACTGAGATATACAATATGATATGACGATCAACTTGTGACGCATAGGTACGGCTTCGAAGTTGATTCATCTTTTGAGCCTAGCATGCATTAAATGTATTTTCTCAACATCCCACATTCTTCAAATTTCGGTGAACAGCCCATTAGGAATAAGTGAACGTTTCAGAGTTTATAGGACTTGTAATTATTAATTAAAGGTATAGTGATGCAAATAATTTTTACTTATAAGTATACTTATGGTCCCTAAAAAACGATTCACTTACTAATTTTTCCGCTTGGTAAAAAAATAAGAAAAGTACTTATTAGCTATTTTTTTTAGAAAAGTTTCACACGGGCGCCTATTCTTTTCAAAATGTACACTTTAAAAATAGGTTCTTTCTGTGAGCCCGTCTAAATGGGTGTTTTAGGTTTCGTGTTCTTCGCTGAATCTTTTTATGTTCGGTACGATACTTATTTTATTTACAGTGTAGTGACACAGCTAGGTACTGCCTATTATTCAGCACGCGACAGGGTGAAGCCAGCTAAAAACCTTTTAAGGAGGATGAAGGAGTAGCGGTATGACAACTCAGTTTCAGTTACAATCAACTGAACTGTTCAAACAGATCTTTCACTCATTTGATCTGAATTTAGATGTGGAAACTGTTATACCCCGATGAGTGCGCCGTAAATCTCGTTTAAGGCAGTTTGAGAAGGGTATGGATCTGGGTTCTTTTTATTCGCAAGTAACCTTTACACACAGTCTCAATTGTTTTTCTCAACCGATTTTTTGAGGATCATGCTAGATATTTCACTTTGAATGCTTTGAAACGTGTTTAGGTTAAATCAGCCTTAGTATGGGTAGAAAGCGGCCAAACATGTTCAGAAAATAAGATATAGAATAGCGTAATTTGTTTCATTTGTATAACCTATCACGCTTAGTGCTGCAGAAAACGCATACTCTAATTTTGATATTGTTTGCTTATTCTCAATTTGTTCAATAGAGCAACAAGAAATGTCTACAGACATAATGCGCTGTGAAAGAAGTGAACATCAAACTTTCTTCGACATAGAATCTCATGAGCTAAAAATCTAAATTGAAAACCTTCGCATCAAAGTAATTACAAAATACATCAACATAATAAGAAAATCAATCTGTGCTGCATGATAATTCGGTCTGTGAATTGTATCCCAATCTTCAAACGACAGTGTTTCAGAATTCTAGGCTAAAGACAATTTCTTTTATTTTTAGGGTTATGTATTATATTTGTATATTGAAAAAGAACAGCTTAATTTCTGTTTGTCGTATCGTATTGAATTTTATCTCTAAAAGTTGTGTTACATATTATAGGTCCGTCATTGCGAATTATCACTTATTGTCTCTATGTTACGGTAAACTAGTGGTCATCCCGTATATTGACTTTTATACAAGCTTACTACTGAGGTGTATTTACCGAAAAATATAGCTCCCGTCAGGCATTGCATTTCACTATAAATAGTTACGAATAGATCTTATCCTCTTACCAGGAATGGAATGTTGAAATGTTTTCTTCCTATAATTTTCTTTTCTTCGTACTTTCTCGTACTCCAATATTTTAGAGATAACCTTAATTTTTTCATCGATAAATCGAAATGAATGGGGAAATTACGATCGATGTTCTTTCTTGTCTGTTTCCAAGTTCAGATTCAATTGGTGTTGACCCTGAATGACGTTTAAATCATAATATCTCTCTATCTTGGCGTGGAAGCATTGCTTCAGAATGGAATACTTCGTCGAGCAGTCGAAACGAAAAAGCAAACTACTTTGTTCCCACTAGCAATGAATCCGTTCGGTGTAGATGAAATTCTTGCAATGGTAGAAGTATTATTGACGGGTCGTTTAACATTAGGTGCAGAAGTAGAAAAAGGCTGAAAGAAAGTTTGCTCAGATTGTTGGAGCACCATATGCAATTATGGTTAATTCTGGCAGTTCTGCAAATTTACTAGCTATCTCGACTATAACAAATAAGTTACGTTGAGTGCGCTGTGATCCTGGCGATCATGTACTGGTTCCTGCTGTCTGTTGGTCAACGAGCGTTTTCCCGCTAATTCAAAGCAGTCTGTGTCCTATTTTTGTTGATATTGATCCGATTACATTCAATGTAACTCTTTTTGAACTTGAACGGAAACTAACAAGTCGTGTCAAAGCAGTGCTGATAGTGCATGTGCTGGGTAATTCTATAAATATGCAAGAAATCATAGAATTCACTAATCGGCACAAGCTTATATTGATTGAGGATACTTGTGAATCTTTAGGAAGTTTTTCTGTTACAGTTATACACAATGAACACAAAATGCTGGGCACATTTGGGGATTTCGGTACATTCTCCTTTTATTTTTCACACCACATCACTAGTGGCGAAGGAGGAATGGTTGTATGTAATAATGAAGAAGATTACAATATTGTGGGATGCCTACGCGCTCATGGATGGACAAGACATCTTACAAACCGGCAAAACAATACTCTGAAAGAAAAAAAGGAGTTTTACAGGACCCTGTTAGGGGTTCTGATATCGGGTCAAACGCAGAACCCTCGAAAAAGGTTCTGACTGAAAAAAGGTTCAGTAAAGAAATAACGAAATCATATGTGACTTTTCTTCAAAAAAGGTTTGTCCTACGTATAAGGTGTTCCATGATTTAAATGGTTTACCGTTGGGATTTCCCTTATCTCTGTATCCATATTTCGTTATTTTTATATCCATAGCCTTATCTATACCTTATATCTATACGCTTACAGCTTTACCCTTAAGCTATACCCTTATTACTGTATCTTCTATCTATACCCTTATTTGTATACTTCCTAAAAAGTGTAGTTCCGGGAAAACTTTAGAGCCTTTCCGATTTTGTCACTGTCTGAAAACCTTCCAGAGTTTCCGAATATTGGTGTTCAAAGTCTTCTGAACTGAAACAAATAGTTGCAGTACTTTCTCACAAAGCAATATCAGAAACTGCAAAAAGGTTTCAAAACTTACCAACCTTGGAATGCAATGAAGGATCTGAAAGATATCGGCAGTCACACAGATGTCGAATCCATGTCGTCTATCATAAAAACGTCAAAATGATACATCGTTATTTCTCGAATACTGATAAGTAACTTAGCCATTCGCTGAGATCCATTTGAGGAATCTAAAAGAAAGGATAAATTAATATACGGTTTTTGATTCTTTAATGTAACTCACCCTTTGAATACAATTCATTCCAAGAACCTAAAAGATAAAAAAAATCGATATTCCTATATAGCTTTTTTATTCTTAAGTGAAGTTTATTATTTGAATAAAACCTATTTGAAGAATCTAAAACAAACAATAAAAACTTAATATAATTTTCTAATTCTTGCATATAACTTACTGATTGGACAAAATGTATTGAAAGAATCTAAAAGAAAAAGAAATCTTGATATTAGCTGTTGATTCTTCAATGTGAATTACCCTTGGAATGACACAATTGTAAAAAGCTACAGGAAAAAAAAGAAATTTTGATATTAGGCTTGTGTTCTGGAATGAAACTTACCGTTTCGATGCAATCTATTTGAAGAATTTCGAAAAAAGAGAAATTACTATAGGTCTTTTATTGTTCGATCCTGTGAGTTTAAGAAAAAATCAGTTATAATGATCATCTAAAACCAGAAGTTTGTGGTGTTCTCAATCACTACAACCTTTAAAAATTATGATGGCTATTTTTAATCGTTTTCTCTTGAAATTTAACGAAATAAGTTAGCTTTAAAGAGTAGCCTTATAGCTACGTCGTTATTTCTTTAGCCTTAATACTACATCTTATAGCTATATCTCGTTATCCATGCCTTGATATATACGCCATTACAATTCTTTTATTTTCAACATGCCTTTACGATTGCATTCTTATATCTTGACCGTTTTATTCATATCATTATACTAATAACCTTTTATATGGATTTCCTTATTACTATACGATTATTTGTGTATTCGTGAAAGTATATGTTTAGGACTTTATTCTTGGATTCATATGGATTGCATTAAATCCTCTATCTTATTTGTAAGATGTGAAGTTCAACGACATGTGCGCACATCAATTGCGTATGATACGGCTGAATAATTTCATAGTATGAAATGTTTAATTGAATGGTTTCTTTTGTTGACGTTAACGAGTGTTTTAGAACAAACACGATAGACAACGATAATATGATAATGAATCGTATATAGCCCTAGTGAAACATCTTGTAAGTAAGATCTTGAAATCTTGGGATTGGTAAGTAAGATCTTGGCCAGATCTTAACAAGATAATTTCTTTTTTCAAGAAATATCATGTCTTGAAGATATCTGATACACATGTAGCAAAGATCTTGATCAGATCTTTTCAAAGATTTCAAGATATCAAGATCAGAAGAAAAAATTCAACTTTGATTATCTTGTCCGAAGATCTTGAGAAAAATCAAAAGCGATATCATTGGTTTATTTATATTAAAAAAAATTGTTAAATGTTTACAATTGCTTATGAAAAGGCGTATACTTAACTCTGAGACTTATGTAATATGAAAAAAATTGTACAATGGTTACACTTCATTGCAACCAATCAATTTAAACATCTAATAACAAAGTCCAAGAGAGGCACGCTAAATAAACAAACGAGATTGTATAAAGTATGAACAAACAAGATCGTATTAAATTATGCCAAGCCTTTAGGATGTTTTCTACTAATTTTTGAGAAATAGTATTTAACACCATAGCTCTGCGCATCAAAGCATACATCTTAAAGGTAATTAAGAACTGTAGACTCAATGTTGTGATAAGATCGAGACAATATTTTTGCAATGTTTTCACACGAAGCAAATTTCGACTTCTTTTGGTTTCATATCGTGATTTTCCTCATACTCATTTGTTTTTTTTATCGACAAACAAGATATGACATGTAAGCATCATAAATTGTTTACTGGAGCAAATACAACGCATTATGATAAATCAAGCTGAAGAGTTTTTGAAATCTTTCAATGAAGTAGTTTAAAAATTATGCTTTTTACAATTTATCATATTTGTCATTGCATAATTTTTTATTTATGTAATTATTTTTCTAGATGAATATGTATTGTTCCAAAAGTATCAATGAGCGTACGCGAGAATGTATGCGGAAACGTCGATTAAATCGCCGTGAGAATGAATCATCACAGCCAAGACAGGATGACCAAAATGAACAATGTTCCATGGACATTTCAAAGATAATCGATCAAGCAACCATTGATATATTAGATGGTTCAAGTAATGCATTGGCTAATTGTGTGGATTCTGTTTCTTGTCGTTCTGAATCATCTAGTGAATTTGAATTGAATGTTGTTGATGATACTAATGACGACTTTGACAATGAAACTGACGATGATGATGAAACTGACGATGATGATGAAACTGACGATGATGATGAAACTGACGATGATGATGAAACTGACGATGATGATGATGATGATGATGATGATGATAGTATAAATGAATATATTCATTTACATGATCATAACAATCAAACAAAATTATTTTCATCGTGTCCATTATCTATACGCGAAGCATGTCTTGCTATCATGAAATTAGCTCGTCGTCTAAATTTGGACAAAAGTGGAATCAAAATTTTATTAAATGATATTCGACGTCTTTTCCCGTCAGATCTCAAATTACCACGATCGGTTCAAGGTCTCATGAAGATAATAGGTATTCAAAATATTTTATTTAATCTTTTTTTCGTGAGATTAGAATATCTGCAATACTACCGTATATGGAAAAAGAACTAAATTACTAAAAGTATTTTTCTTTATTTCTGTCAATTGTTACAAATACGCCTTTGTTCAAATTGTTATTAAAAACTTTTCATTTTTCGAGATTTGCTGTGCTACAAAACCTGTCTAACAGAAACAACACTTCTCTATAGTTGAAAGGTTAACTTTATCAATCTTATTTTCTTCATGTTTTCAGCCTGATTTCTTTTCGAAGAATACGAAAATTTGCTACTACTGAAGCACTTTAATATAATCCTATGTATCGATTAGTACTAAATATTTTTTTCAAATTTATATTGTTACTCTCAAAAAATGTAGACAATTCTTCGAGGTTATTTTATTAGCTCTGAAACTACTCACTTCATTTTTTTTAATGATTAGGTTTTGATTATTCGAAGAAAGTGATATATTATTGTTGTGAATGCTTGTCTCGTTTGACAAATCCTGAGTAAAAAACGTCTGTTGATGGATATTCATTAAATAATGTAAGACGTCCATTTAGAAATGTAATTGAAGTTGCAATTAATAATATTAAAGATGAAGTTTACGCAACAGCCAAACGACATATAAATTTAATCAATGAATATTCTCAATGTTCAAATGTTTTTTTACCATACGATGTACTCAACGGTTCCATATATGAACGTTTGAAGAAAAATCAAAAACAACTGACTCTCGCCCTCCACACCGATGGAGCACCCGTCACAAAAATGGGTGGAAAATCATTATGGCCAGTCCAAGCAACGATTCTTGAAATTCCCCCTCCTATTAGAGATCATGTAAGTGCTGTAATGGTCTTTGGTGCTTGGTTAGGTGGTACTCATGCGAATAGAGAACTACTGTGGAATAGCATTGTTGACAAAATAAAGTATTTGTATGAAAATGGAATTACATTAAAATTAAATGATAATACCAAAATCAAGTTCAATATTCGAGTGCAATTCGTCACTTTTGACCTACCGGCACTTGCCCATAACTGTAATATAGTTCAATTCAATGGCTATGATGCTTGTCCATTTTGCAAAGCACATGGTTATGCTATTGGAACACAAATATTTTATGCTCATTCACCAACACCATCTATTAGAAAGACTGATGGTGATTATCTTCGATTATCAACGACTGATTTACCAAGATTAGGTTCACATGGTATTAAAGGTCCCACTCCATTAACAAATATAATGTTATTTCCTTATCAAATTGCTGTGGATTACATGCACTTGGTGTGTAGCGGACACTTTAAGACTTTAATTATTTATTGGAACCAACTGCTGTTGCCAGATGTTTTTGAACAAGCATCGAATTTTTTATTATCAATTACATTACCACACTCGTTTGGATATCAATTTGTGTCAATAATTCAGTTTGCAAATTGGAAAACGAAAATGTTCAGGTAGGAAATTTTTATTGATCATTTGAATCACGATCTAATAAAAGTTGCAAAGAGAAATTGTTCGAGATAGATTGATATTTGTAAATCAGAGATCTTTTTTTTTGGAAGGTGATTATAGCTGGATACTTAAGAAAAAAGACAATTTCATTTTGTATTTACAATATTGATAAGTTAAGAACTTCAGCTTAAAACCAATTGTTCGTTTTCTTCAGTTGTGAAAAAATTGAATAGATTAGGTCGTGATTTTAGCGTCACTCTAACCTGAAAGCAAATAGACCCCGCTTGGTGCAGAGATGGGCGAGTCCAGCTTTTTTTCGAGTCAAGTCAAGTCCGAGTCATTAAAAAAATGTGACTCGAGTCGACTCGAGTCCGAGTCATGACTCGGACTCGCCCATCTCTGGCTTGGTGATAGTTATATGGAGTCATTGTTCCTAATCTAAGGTCATATAATATAATGGTTTCAACTATAGGGACTTTCTGTTGTATATCTCACCAATATTTGCGATTCAATTTTTACCGGATGAATTGACCTTACACTTTTTATATTATTTTATTTACATTCGAGTGTTACGCTTTTATCAAGACAAAAATGAATTACAAGGTGTCGATCATTTTTTCAACTATTATTATGAAAATTTATCAAAACATTATGGTCCTAAATCTGAACTTTGTACGATTCATATACATTCACATCTTCTAGGTCAAGTCAGAAGGCATGGATCGTTATCCATGACTTCATGCTTTCCTAGGGAATCTTATATTGGAAATGCAATTAAATGGTGCCAAGGTAAAAAATATATGCTTGAACAGTTTATTACATGGTATAAAATCGACCATAGTTTATATCCTGATAGTACATTAAATATGACTTATCTTACTCAAAATCAACGTTTCGATGATAAGTATTTAAATAAACGATTAATTGCATCTTTAGATGAGAAATTTATAAAATGTTGCAATAAAAAAAACATTCAATTAGATACAAGAAAGCGAATTAAACAATATGGTCGTTATTTTCGAGGGTTAAAAACATTTCATTCATTATCGTATGAGCGTGGTGGAAATGCAATTAGCTATTGGGTATTTGTTAAAGATAATGAATGTTCACAAAATCATGGTATTTGTTTTGGCGAAGTTGTTTATTATTGTCAACTTGATAATGAGTATTATGCATTTTTAAAGCATTTAAATGCCTTGATAAAAGTTTGGCAGATGGTTTAGCATCAGTAACAGTTCCAAATGATCTTCTTGATCGATTGAACAATTATTATCATTTTTTTAATGATCAGACATTTGTTTACAAAATTGTACAAGTAAACTGTATTCTAAACAAAGCTATTCGCATGTCGTGGATCGAATCAAACACATCGGTTTTTACCCAGGTATGCCTGGATTGGGAACATGATTGAAAAGTGACAAAATATTAGCAATACGTATTTTCATCGTTTCTTCTTTTGAAAAATAGTTAATGGGAAATTAATTCTATTCTTTGATTGTTTTTTCGCTGCAGTTGTACTGACTACATCGAAATTATTATTATTGAATTTAGAAGGATGCATACCCATGGAAAAATATTCCTCATAATGAACGTGAAAGAACGCGTTTTCGAAAAAATTGAACGTATTTTATCGACTAAAAACGCGTTCTAAGAACAAATTAA